GGGCAATTTGGTGGAATTCCCCGTGAGGTTATAACTTCCACGGCGATGGCAGAGGACAAATCTTTGTTGCCATTTTACAACCGTGTCCCCCAAGAAAAAGCCCTGAAACAGACCTTGATCAATCCAGAGGTGGGTATTCCTAGCCCCAGGAAGATGTTTGAGCCTTGTAATTCTGGGGCTCTCCAAGCATAAGATCCCTTGATACTGGCACAGGGTTGCCAGATGTAAGGAGCTGGGTGGCAGTTTATTTCCATCCTGTGTGGGTATAGGAAGGGTTTAGACAGCTAAGAAGACAGAAAGGTTGAACCTGGGTGGTCACAGACCGCTGCACCTCCACTAATTCTAAGACACTAGGCAAGTTACCTTACCTCTCTGAACTCCAAGAGGTTGCAACAAAAGAATCTTAGGTGTGGTATAAGTTTAAATGAAATAATACAGGCAAAGCATTTTGCCAGGTACCTGGCCATAAGCACTCCATAAGGGCCAGTCAGCTGTTTTTAGAAGTGGTACAGCTGTACTGCTGGGAGCTGAAGTGCTCACATTCAACATTTGACAAATATTTTCACATTAATCTAATTTTTGCTTATTCATTTAGTTATTCGTTCATTTAACCCATTAATGCATTCATTATATTTTTGCTGAGCATCTGCTACCAGTCGATTCTTGCCCCAGCTCATCCCTGTCCAACTGCATTTAGGGGGATCCAGCCCCAAGGGGAACTGCAGCTCCCTACACAAGAACTGAGGAGTCTAGCTTGGCAGGAAGGGTGATCTTGTCCCTGTGGTGGTTGGGGTTCTGGAAACTGTTTTCTGCAGCAGCTCTGCCTCCTCAGGCAGAGTTGCCTGAATAGAGCAGACCCCTCTATTGTTTGAGGAGCACTGAGTCAGGACAACTTTCTACATCCACCTTTGTCTCCCATCCCTCACCCTTGAGGAGGTGTGCGCCCCATCTCCTGAAGGCCCCAACTAGCAAGCTGGAACCTATTTTCTCTATAGTGGGACTCAGCCTCCTAGGACTGAACTCTGTTGCTGGTCCACTGTGCTTTGTTGTGCTAGGGTTTTGGGAACAATCCTGTGCTTTTGATACCCCATCATCTCTACGCTCTGTTCTTATTTGAAGTGTATATTCGTCCCTCCCTGCCCTCACTGTGCATCTCAGTGCCTGTCTCCAGTTGGGCCGGAGTGGCCATGCCACTACTCACACTTGTGTTGGGACCATCTAACTTCTCTGGGTTCTTATCTTTGTCTGGGCCCCTTCATGCCCTTTACTTGGGCTGTGTAGCAGAGACATTGCTGGGCAGACACCTGCTGGATGGATGTCTGTGAGACAGGGATACTTAACACCGGCATGGTTCATAAACAGACATCTCACGTGTGGTAGACGCCATGATGTGTAGTGCTGTGGGAGTCACCTGGGTGGATTAGCTGGCTCTGCTTTGAGAAGTCAGGGAGGGTTTACTGCTGATGTCTGAGCAGTCTTACAGGACTTTGCTAGGTGGACAGTGGGAGAAAGGGAAGTCAAGTCAAGGAGAGTAGCACACGTAAAAGCCTGAAATCACATGATATTCTTAAAGAATGTGTAACGTAGCGTGAGTGGATGAAAGGAAATATGTTATCCAGGGTTGAGGGTTCATGAATAGCAGAGGGCCTTGTGAGGGCCTTGTAAACCATACTAAGCATTTAGACTTTGTCCTACCACCACTGGGATCCTGTGAATGATTTTCTGTAGGGGCATGATGTGATTTATATGTAAGGAAGGTGAGACACATGGCTGTGAGGGGATGCGTTGTCTCGTTTGTCCTGTAGCAGTTCTGTAAGGCAGACAGGAAGATACTGTTATCTGCTTTTTATACCTGAGAACGCTGAGGCTCCAGAGGTTAAATGCCTTGCCGAAGGTCTCAGAGTCAGAAAGCAGAGGACCTGGGACTCACCTAGCTTCCTGGCTCTGAATCTCTTTCTCCTGGGCACACTGCCATTGTTAACAGAGTCTTCTAGAAAGCTGGGCAGTGGGTGGATGCTGACAGAGGCAATATGAAGCAAATGGTCATTGATACAATCTTGTTGAAGGAGTACAGCACTGGGATTTTGTGGCCAGCAAGAAGCAGTGGGGAGCTTTGAGCTTCAAGCACTATACTGCCTCGACAAAATCCATTCATCACTGCCTCGCTCATTAATTCACAGCAGCATCTGCTGCCTGATGCTGGCATTTGTCAGTGGCTTGTTTCTGGAAGCCCCTGGTCCTCAAGGTTAGTCAGTTCTGCAGTCCACAGCCACAGGGTAAGCCCTGGCAGTCAGAGACAGGCCCTTTCTGCCTGCAGTTTGTAAAATGAAATAATTTTATTTTTTAAAAAACAAAGTGTGACCTAGCAGTACAGAACATGAGCTTGGAGATCAGGCAGACCTGGGGTTTAGTTCTGCGGCTGCCACTTAGCTAGCTAGGAAAGTTATGTCATATGCGTGAATCACACTAAAATGAGCAAAATCAAACCTTCCTGAAAAGATGATCATGATCAGTAAGGTGAGACAGAGTTTATAAAGTGCCCTGGTGTGACACATGGCACATATGAGTCCTCAATATATGGTGACTTTACCTCCTGCTCTTTTTGTTGCCACGACCACCACTGGCAGCACTACTGCTACCACCACGGTTACAGAAAGCTTGAAAAATATGGAAGAGAAGGAAAAAATCTTATAGTCTTACCACCATGATGCAGCTGCCCTTAAATTTAATTATATTTCCTTCAGATCTTTTTTCCCCACTAGTTCAGAGCACATCAGATTTTATAGCATATTTACTTTATAGCCAGGCAGGATTTTTTCCTCTGTGATGGGAACTGCATTATACTTATTTTTCTTATTTTTAGTAGATGATTTTTCTGATTGTAAAAATAGGGTATAAAATTTAAGGAGCACAGAAAAAGCCAAAGGGAAAGCCAAACTTGTAATGCCTACCTTACCCATAGCCCAGAGGCTGTCACTAGTAACCTTTTGGTATAGCTCCTTCCAGTCTTTTATTCATGCTTTATTATAGAATTGAGATCATATTACATATACAGTGTGCTTTTTCGGTTCACAGGATATCATGAGTATTCTCCTTTACTGTAAGCATCATTTTCCAAAGCTGCATAGTAATTTCTAGGTCATTCGATAGCTCTGCCATAATTTACATAGAATTCTCCTATTGTTAGACATCTAAGATTTTTTTTCCCCAATTCTTCAATCTAAGCAGCTTCTTATGACAGATCTTAGGGAACCAGCCTCAGTATAACCAGGAAGCACATGATGAACTTGTGCTGTGTGTATAGCCCTGGGTGAAGCACAGGGGTACCCCTCGGATAACTCAGTTACAGAGCCTGCTTCAGAGGACCTAAGACTAGTCACCCTGGAAATACTTACTGGGGTACCATATACAGGTGCTTCTTTGCCAGACACTATCAAGGAATCCACCTAAACATGGGTGACCCTTTTCCCTGTGGAAGCTGAGATCCTGGACGCATAACTTTTACAAAGAAAATAGCCTCAGAAGCTTTGCTGCCCCTTTTCACCTACCAGTGTGTTATTTGGCCTCCTTTGCACAAATACCTTTTGAGCCTGTTACCTTGACTGTCAGGGCCTGTGCTAACTACCTTTGAATGTCACTTCCAAGTGGTTTTCACCGGGAAAGAGTGAGAGGCTATAGCATCAAGAAAGGAACTTGTATGAGAATCAGAATCAGAGAGGCTCTAGTCTTAGTTTTGACACACAGTTGCTCTAGCACCTGAGGCAAGTTATTTCCTCTTCCCAAGCCTGTATTCTCCCTGTAATATAGAAAGATTGGACCAGATGATCCCCAGGGCTCTTCCAGTTGACATTCCATGAGTACCTGAAGCCTTCTTCTTGCCAGGAGCTAAAGTGAGTATCTTGATAAAGGTCACAGGATGCTTCTCGTTCCTTTTAATTAATACCTGGGGAACCATTTATGCTTTTATGTTCCCAGTCACTTCCTCCTGGTAGCCTTTGGGACGTGCAGAGACTAAAAGGCAAGAAGTATCTCTCACTAGGTGCAAACACTGGATTCAGAACCCAAATGATTATCTTTTATGTGTGAGGTATTTGTTCTTTATGTACCTTGTTCTTTCATTCATACTTTCATTCAACAGGTATTAACTGAGCCCCAGGCCTTGTACAGTCCACTTGTATAATGTAGAGGGGAATGAGACTCAGCCCTGTTCTCAAGACACACAGTCTAGTGAGGAGGCAGGAACAAATGTAAACGACAACCAGATAATTGCTGCAGTGGGTACATGTAAGTCGCATAATGGAAAGAATGCTTGGGTCTGCCTAGAAGCTACAGCAAGGGGCTCTCAGTGGATGCTCTGAACCTTTAAAGGATGAATAGAAGTTTTCTAGGTAGGCAGCTGAAGGGAGAGCATTCCAAGCAAAGAAACAGCATGTGCAAAGGCCCGGAGGTATGAAAACATGTGTGCAAAGGGCTGCAGATAGTTTGTGTGGCTGGAAGTTGAAAGGAAGTGAACAGATGAGAAGTCAAGCATTTTTCCTCAGGCAAGTCTGTTTCTACTGAATTCTTTGCTCATTTTATTAGTCTAGAGGAGAGAGGTGGACTGTTTAGCTCAGTTTTTGAAAGCTGTCATCTGTATTGCCTCATATTTCCATTTTTATAGTAACACATGCTCATTATAGAAAGTTTGAAAAATACAAAAAAAGTAGAAAGAAGAAAAGATTTTTAAAAATCACTCACAGTCTCCTGCCTAAAGTCAAATACTTTAACATCTTATTGTATTTCTATTCAATGTTGTAGTTTTCACTTATTTTTATGTAGTTGTGACTGTGTTGTAATTATAGTCTTAACTTTTGTACATGGTGCCCCCCCTACTTACTTCCTAAAATTTCCCCTCAAAATGGGTGTTAGTATCATTAAAAGTAACTCTGATTATAAAATATAATGGCTGAAAGAAATACATTTTCTTTGTCTAATATAACTTACTTTCTTTCTTTTTACAGGTCTCTTGTGGGTCAGAGCATAATCTGGCAGTAATGGGTAAGTAACTATTATACTGATAACTGTGTTTATTCTGAAACTTGTGGGCAGAATTGGAGAAGACTCTTGGTTAACCAAAGGCCAGGGTGCTTGCGTGGGTGAGTATGTGTGTGTGTGTGCTGGGGGAGATTCTGGGAAATGGGAGTCTTTGGTTGACCAAGGATTTGCTAAAAGCCCCTTTTCTAAGAATTTCTATTCACATCATCCAGCATCTTTTTAAGGTGTCTGAGCTGGCCTCTCTGCCTTAGAAATGGCATTTGGGGATATTAAAGATCTTAGAGGCTGGAGGCATCATGTGTAGAAAGCCAGACGTAAAAGGGGAAGAGGATTGGGTTGCTCTTGGTTCTTGAATAAATCCTTTGCACTTAGTTCTTCCCTCTTGTTCGGCTCTTTCCTTGGAGATGGGGGACTCAGCTCACTGCCCTCAGTGCCTTGTGTTTCACAGCGCTTGGGAACTCCCAGTTGAAGCCAAGCCTCTGACTAATTGACGCTTCCTCTTAGTTGACTCTGGATAACCCAGATTCACTGTTTTTATCATCAGGCTGGTGTGTAACTCCTTCAAGAAGCCTTCTCACTACTACACTCAGTCTCCATCTCACAGACGTAAAAGAGACCACAATGAAGAACTGGCAGAGTTCACAGGCTTCTGCTTACTAGCTGTGTGAACTTAGACAAGATACTTACCTCTCAATGCCTCATTTTTCTCGTTTTTAAACTAAGGAGGGCAGTAGAGCCTCCCTCATAAGGTTGTTGGGGTTGTTGTGAGGATTAAAGGATTTAATATATGTAAAGCACTTGGAATAAAACTTAGCTCCTGGTAAGGGTTTTAGAAGTGTTAGTTGCTATTATCTGATGCCATTAGTTCAAATAATTGCCCTTCTTTGGGCTTTAGGTCCCCCATCTGTGAAACGGGTTAGAACTGAAGACCAAGGTTCCCTCCAGCTCTGATACTTTAGGACTCTGTTACAACCAGATCACTGTCTGCCTTGGGTAGGTGATATCTGTTCTGTGTACTTCTCTCTCCCAGCCTCTGACTCTCAGCTTCTGAAACCCCTGTGTTTTCCTTTTGTTTGCTGCTTATTTGCAGCACCCAGTGCACTGCCTGGCACTCAGCAGAGACTCAGGCAATGTTTTCTGAATTAAGCTAGGCTGGCTCAGCTGCCTGGGGTGGCAGCAGTTTGAAGCACTGCTTTGCAGGCCTGAAAGTGATGTGCAAGGAGGCAGAACCAAGGACAGCAGAGGAAGCAGGCTGCCAGCCAGCAGAGGGGGTGGGGAGTCCAAGGGACTGGAGTCAGAGAGGGAGCAAGAAAATGTAACAGCAAACCTGCACGCTCTGCAGTGGTACCAGATAGTGTATACCGGAACTGCTCCAGCCTGTGTGTAATTAAGACAAGCTAATCAAAGACTCAGGCAGTGCCTAGGATGCTGCTGCTGCTGCTGTCACTGGACTGGGAGAGAGGTTGGCTGCCTCTGGAACCAGCACAAAGATGAACATTGCAGGGAATCTAAACACGTGAAAGAACAAATCCAGATGAAAGAGGGGGCCAGAGCCAGCAGTGGGGCAGGCTGGGCTGATAGGACTGTAGAAGGAGCATAGATTCTGCAGGCAGAGAGCCTGGGTTCAAACCGGCGCCGTTGCTGTGTGAGCTTCCTTTTTTCCCTCGGCTGTGTAAGGGGCATCATTCGACCTCGCAGGATTGTTGTTGTGGGGATTAGAGAAGATATTGTCTGTGAAATACCTGGTACTATACAGGGGATATGTAAGAAATTAATTAATAATTCCATTTCTTTTTCTTTTCTCTTGGTCCGTGTGGGGAGAGGAGAGAATCGCTTGTTAGTGTAACTGTTCTGGTGAAGTAATTCTTGGTTGGGAGAGAAAAATGATAACATTCTGGAAAGGTGTGTCCAGCATTACCCAGGAGAGGAAAACAGCAGAGGCAGTGGGAGAGCAGGGCATGCTGGTGAATTCCTCAAGACTGGACCTGTTATTTTCCACTTTGTCCCCAGTGTATGCGACCTGGCTCACAATCTGTTGAATGAATGTTCCAGAGTCAGCAAAGGTGGGCCCAGGCAGGGGGTTCTGGACACGTCCACCTGATGGGAGCAGAGGCTCCTCGCCACTGGAGGGATGAGGCCCTCAGTGGGCACCCTGCAGGGTGCAAGCTGTGCAGCAGGAAGTGACCAGAAGCCTCCTGCTGCCCAGGGCGGGAGGCCCGCAAAAGGGGGACAAGCTGGAGGAGGAGAGTTCCCACTGCTGAAAGCCTGGTTCTCACAGCTGGCTCCTTCCCTCCGCCCTTCTGCCCTTGCCTACTTTAGGTGGATTTCCCTGCCCTCAGTCTCATCCCTGAAATCCCAGCCCTTCAATGCCCCGTGCTGGGTCACACATGTGATAGGCACAGAATAGATACAGAATAGACTGGAACACAGAATAAAGAAGCCAAACTTTGCTCAAGGATAGAATCGGCCTTAATGTCTAATGAATGTGCAACAGGCAGATCAAACTGGAAAGGAAGGGAAAGAGAAGGGTGAAAGTACATAATTCAGGACCTACTCTGTCTTAGAATGGACACAACTCCACAAAATGTTATTTGTTGTACCCGCTTAATAGAGAAGAAAACTGTGAGCCTGACTTCCAAGACTGCTCTTTCCACTCTCTCTTTTCCTCGCATCCGAGGCAGTATGGGTAGTGGTTAAGAAGAGCATAGGCACTGGGGTCATATTGTCTGGATTCAAATCCTGGCTCCTCTGCCTATGAGCTGTGTAACCTTGTATAAATTGCTTAACCTCTCTGTGTCTTGATCGCCTCATCTGAAAGATCATATTATTGACCTCATAGGGTTGTTACGCAAAATGTTGCCTGGCACAGAAGTAAAGGCTCAGTAAATGTTAGCTGCTGCTGCTGTTGTTGTTGTTATATATTAAGATCTCAAGGGAGGAAGGCATTGTAGGATGACCATAGGAAGGCTGAGGCTCAGGGTGGAAATCAGAAGCTGGAGAGAGAAATGTCTCCCCGACCCAGAATATCAGGGTCCGGGGCAGGATCTCAGCATATCTGGAATGGATTTGGAAACTGGGGCCTGGGTACCCCAATCGAGGGATCTGAAAATCCCAACAGCCCTGGAAAACAGTGCCAGCCCAGATTCATTCCAGATCAGGATTGTGCTATTCACCATCCCAGACAGCGACTCGGGACCAGCATGTTCCAGCCTGAGGGAAGCCCCACAGCAGGTATGTTTCGGGTTTCTTAGGGGACCACAATAATTCAACTTTACTACTTCTTTTGCTTCCGGATTTCTTTTTCCCGTCTTCTTTTGCAATTTGGTTTGGCTCTTTCCTTAGTTTCAGTGAAGTTTCTCTTGACCTGTTCTGTGTTTTCCATCAGGCCACCCCCATGGCTAGAGAGGGTGATGAGACAGTGCAAGTTCCTTTTAGAGAGAAGAATGGCTGGAGCTGAGTTTAGAGAAGCTCAAGTGACAGGAAGGAAGAGCTGAAGCCATCGGCCATGCCTGGCCTGGCCACTCTAACTGTGTGCCTTGTACAGTCTCCTCTTCACTAAGCCTGCCTTCTCATCACAGTACCCACCCCTAAATGTTGTTCTTCCAAATGGCATAGGTACGTCGGGTGCCTGAGCAGTGCCCTCCACAGAGTAGGTGCTCAGCGGGTGCTTGTCACTTGGCAGGTTCACTGATTCCCTTCCTCCCTCCCTCTATTCCTTCCTCCTTCCCTCCCTCCCTTACTTCCTTTTCACCAGGATTTCCCTCCCCATCTGACGAAGCTGGCTGGCTCCCATGCATGGACATAGGCTGAGGTCAGCAGACGTGGCATGAAGGCATGTGGCCACCACTTGTTCAGAAGATCAGGCTCCCCAGGCCCAGCTCTGTCTTCGGGGTCCTCACCTCCGCGTCTGGCTGAATTGGCTCCAGCTGTTTTGCTTCCCCCCAGGAGCAGCTTATTTTGGCTTGAATGGGCAATTTGTTTGCCTTCGCTCCTGATGTGCCTTCCCTTCCTGCAGAGAAAAAAGAGCTGACTGCATTTCCTCTCTCCCCCTCCACGCAAACCCTTGGAAGGGATTTTATTGGTGGCCTTTTCCTGGAGCACTCACGCTTGCCAGACAGGCATTGTTTAAGGGTTAGATATTTGGCAGCAAAGTGTAGTGCCTCCTCCTCGAAGCAAAAGCAGCTCTTTTACCAAATTGGAGCTATAACCTATGCAAGGATCTTTTATTTTTTATTTTTTTCATTTCGCTGATGATTTCCAATTGTTGAACCTTTGTACCTTTGTAATATGTGTGGCAGAGCATCTAACCGTGCATGGCCTGAGATCCCTCAGGTGAGGTCGTGTAAGAATTTAATAGAGAGAACTAACTCATTTTGACCCTGGCTGTTCCTCTGAGAGGTGATACTTCCAAACCCTGGGCCTTGTAGGGAGTTTAGAGGCAAGGACAAACTTGTGCAGCCCTGTGCATAGTGTGATGGGCAGAGTGTAATGCCTTATCTATATGGTCCTGTTTAATCCTCATACCAAATTGATGAGTTGGCACTGTTAACCCTATTTTCTAGATGAGGGGAGCTTCAGCGTAGGCTGAGCAGTTTGCCCCGCCCAGGTCACAGGGCCAGGAGGAATCTGTGTGTCAGGTCCTGAACCTGGACCTCTTAACTTTAGAGCATGTGATCTACTAGCTGCTGCTGCCTTCCTGCAGGCCAGTGACCTGTTTCTGAGGCCACCAGAAAAGATTATCTTATCTGTTAATTTCAATATTTATTTCTCCTTCACGTTGGCAAGGTCTTCTGTATATCCAGAGTATATGTAATCTGGTTCAGATTAAGCAGTTCCCTACATAATAACTAGGTAAAATTGTGAAATTGATGACATTGTATTGGAAAACCACCCCTTTTAGGATTCTTCTTCCCCCTTCTATTGTCCCTTTTCTTTAAAAAAAGTTACTTATTTAATTTTTGAATAATCAATACATGTACATGATTCAAAACTTAAAAAGCATA